CCCCTAGTTTATGGGTTGATCAACCGCTAGTGGCAAAAATAGGGGAAACCACCCCCCAAAGGGTCCAAAATGGCCATGGCTTCACTAAAAAAAACAGCCTTTGATACTAGTACCACCTGGCCAAGAATTTCTTCGGCAAAGAAGGCCTATTGTCAATGGGGACAGGGCTTCGATTAAACGATCAAAAGCATGTGGGATCCCTTCAAGGGATCCGCAACTTGTTCCGTAAGACACCCAACGTTTACCTACAAAGCCAGCATGTCCCCAGGAATCAAAGCTATTATTTATCTGTTTCCCAGAAAACTCAAAGGTAGATTTTGGAAAGCCTCCTTGGCACCCATGTCCTACATTCCGCCGAAAAGGCTGCCGGGGTATCACCAAAAATACAAGCCATGGCCCTCCAAATTCCTCAAGCTGGCCAACAACCGATGACGTCCACACAACATTCATGTGTCCAACCCGTGCTATTCTTTCCCAATGTCCTTGTCAAGGAGAGTCATAGCAACATGTCTTGGAGTTTCTCGAATCTCTTTGCTTCAAAGTCACGGATGTGCCTGTTTTCAACCATACCCTCCGCAAAACGGGGCCAATCTAAAGGGTAAAACAACGGGAAACCTTTTTGGGAGTTCAAAAGAAAGGCCCACCCCGCAATAGATTGCAAGCCAACCCTTTCAAATGTATCGCTGCGTATCCTCACTTTAAACCCGCACCAACCAATCCTGAAAAGGTTACAAAAAACATCCCAACCAGCGTAGACCCCAGATAGAACACCACGGCTACGAACCATGACGCAGCAGCATCATGATGATGTAGACAGAACCATGATGATACCGCAGCCACGGAGCATGTTGCGCCAAACAAACGCGCAGACAACGTCCTAATGAGTTCAGCAGCATAATGATGATGTTGAGAACATCATGCTGATACACCAGCCACGAGTGAGTCCGCGCTACATATCTGGCAGGAAAAGGCAAACACGACGTTCTGATGAGTTTGAATGATGACGCGGACAGCATCATGATGATGCGGACAACATCATGATGATGCGAACAGCATCATTCTGATGGCAAAGGCAGCATCATGATGGCACCACAGCCACGAATCATCTTGCGACACGTAATGAAATTCAGCATCATCCTGATGTTGACAACATCACGGCGCCTCTACACCCACAAACCATAACGCAGCACCGCGGTGACCCCAGCAGCATCATGACGTGTCATCATAACAATACACCAGCCACGAACCATTACGCGCGAACAGCACCCACCAGCACGGCAAGCTGCATGCCCCTCCACCGGCACCCCAAACTGCACGCCCCCCAACACCCGGCCAGCTTGCAAAACAGCATCCACCAGCACCCCAAACTGCATGCCCCCTAGCACCCGGCAGCTTGCAAAACAGCATCCACCAGCACCCCAAACTGCATGCCCCCCAGCGCCCAGCCGTCAAGCAGCACCCCAAATTGCATGCCCCCCAGCACCCGTCAAGCTCGCAAAACAGCATCCACCAGCACCCCAAACTGCATGCCCCCCAGCACCCGGCCGTCAAGCTCGCAAAACAGCATCCACCAGCACCCCAAACTGCATGCCCCCGAGCACCCGGTCGTCAAGCTCGCAAAGCAGCATCCACCAGCACCCCAAACTGCATGCCCCCTAGCACCCGGCCGTCAAGCTCGCAAAACAGCATCCACCAGTCCACCAACACCCCAAACTGCATGCCCCCCAGCACGGCCGTCAAGCTCGCAAAACAGCATGCACCCCAAACTGCTTGCCCCCTAGCACCCGGCCCTCAATCTCGCAAATCACTTTCCCCTCGTTATTAGAAGTTAGAACCCCTATAGCTTTCAGCTAACTGGGGGGGGGGGAAGAAAAAAAACCGGCACACAGCTGCTGAAATTCCTCATCTTTAGAGTTACTATGAGAAACACCCCAGCATAATGCCTGCCAAGTGGGTCAATCATGCGCAGCTCAAAATGCCCTTTTCAGCACCAGGCATCATTGTTCCACTTGTTGGGATAATGAATATGTTGTCAACAAAGACTCTTTCTCCCAAAAAACAAGAGAAAGAAACAAACAACGCAATGCCCTGGAGACCCGAATCGGTCAGGTCCAGAGGTCCGGAGGTCCGGAGGTCCGGTCCTTAGGTTGAAGGAGTCATCGATCGTTCCCACCAGGAAGCCCTGCTCCAGGCCATCACAGCTCCAGCCGCCCCCGCCCCCCACCAGCCAGTCGTGGGGGCCCGTGCGGTAGGTGCTGCCTTCGACCAATGGAAAAGGGAATCTCTCATTGAAATTTGAAGGAGTTGAAACAGCTGTCTCAATGGAAAAATAAAAAGCTTCGTGACCAAGCTGCCCTGGTCCGTGTTGTGCCGGTGCCCCCCGAAATACGCCAAATTGCGCCGGCCGTCCGGCCGCAAAGAGTCCAAGAAGCGAGGCAAGGATTGGAAGTAATCTGTGGGGTAGTGTGAAAACACCAGCATAGTCTGCCTGCAATCTTGCCATACCAGTCCAAAGAGCTCCAATTGCGTGGTTGACAAGACACAAACTTGTTCTCCCTCGCCCCTCTGCCCCCTTAGGCCTTCCTCTTTTCCCCTTATCTCAATTCTTACTTGTACACCGTCCTGGGTTCATATCTTTGGGGCTCCAAAGAATAGATTAGTTTCAACAACCCAGTCCCTTCCTTCCAATATATTCGGGAAAGTTGATGTTCAAAATTATTCAAACAAGAATCTGGCTCCACCCCTCCCTCCTCCACCTCTTCCCCCTCTTCCCGTTGTTCCCCTCTTCCTGCCGTCCTGGTGGACTCATTCAACCGCCTCCCCAGTAGCTCGATGGCACTTTGCGCCCGTAACTCCGCGTGCTCCAGGCACGTCTCTGGGCACGAGGAGTATTGGCAGTCAGAGAGCTCCAATTCATCCGAGGATTTGCTCGTGTTCCACCCGTCCATGTACCTGCCGTACCCTAAGAAACCAGATCAAACCAAAATCTAGCTAGGTTGCAACCAAACCCCTAGGCTTGTGGGTTGGCAAACTTGCTGAATAATTTTCTGGAGGCTTCTTGGACTTGCGCGAGCTCTCTCTCTCTCTCTCTCTCTCTCTCTTTAGTGGGATATGCGGAAGAAGAAGAAAAAAAAGAATAAAAAAAAAGAAACAAAAAAAGCACATCCCAAGGAATAGAAACTTGGAGTGGGACCCCACAACTGGACAACTGTTTGTTGGTTCGGGTGGTTCATAGTTAAGAGGACACAACTTCAACTAAACAGTTTTTGGTTTACTTGCTGGTGCGATTTGTACGGAAATCGAAAAGGAATGAAACCAGGCTTTGGTCCCCTCCAGGAACCACCAGCAAGGGATGGTCTTCTTGGGCATTCCATACTCATTCCTTGCATCTCCTGCACCGATCGGAAGTGCCAAGGTGCTTGTTCAGATCCAGGGCCACCACCTCCAGGTCCATGTCCTCGCAACCCATTTTTGTCTCCAGGGAAACGGACAAGCTTGTCTTTCGTCCGGAAAAAACGAAAGGCAGAAGAAGGAGTCCCGGTTCCCATTCTAGTAATCGGTTCCCTGAAAACCGACCAAGCAAGAGTAACGGCTGGCAAAACTTGGGACTCTCGGCAGGCGATCTCAAAATCCGGTAGACGTTCTGTAAACACACATGTGAGATCATAAACCCAAGCAAACCCGAGTGCAGATTCCACAAAAGGCAACTCAATAACTGCATGATGCAAAAGTGCCCTTTGGAAGGCGTACTTTTGGCTCAGGTTTGTACACTGCAGTATTTTAGAGGCTTTCCACTTCCACTGCTTCGTTCAGATACGACAAACTTGTCCTCATGCTCGATGCGCCAGTTGTAGCTGGGCATGTAGAAGCGATTCCGGTCATGGAGATCCGAGTTGATTTGGGCACCATCTTCAGGGCTGCACATCCCGGGGTCATGGTGCGTGTCATGGTTCCCGTAGACGCTGTACCATGGCACATCCCTCACTTTGTCGGGAAAACGGTTGTACCACTGCAAGCCCCAGCGAGGGTCACTCTTGCCAGTCAAACCATCCGGGTAGAAAGAGTCTCCCACATTGATGATGAACTTCACATCACTCAGCCGCTCCATAGTCTCTGCCATCACCTGGCCGATCATCTTTTGGCAATCCGCCTTCATCACGTTGCCATGGACCAAATGGTCCCAGCCCCAATCGCCGACAACCAGGAACGAGCCTCTCCGATTTTGAGGAATCGCATTCTTGTCCATTTGGCAAGCTCCTTCTGCAAAGTCCTGCTTGGCAGAATTACATTGGGACCACCTCGACTTTGCTGCCGTGTTACATCTGCTCGTGCCGTGTGAGTGTTGTCCAGTACCCTTGGCTCAAAACCGAATGGGTCTCATTGTGTGCGCTGTGGATTTGGTTATTCACAGGGATATACATATCTGTATATATATATATATATATATCTGTAAGCAGAGAGCTTCCAAGGATGTTTCCCCACCCTTGATCAAACAAGGGGAAAAGTAAAAGGGTAAAACTTCCCGTAGAAGGACACTTTTGTCAGCTTTACTTTTTACTGTTCATGGCTCACAATTTTACTCTTAGTCAGGAAAAGTGAAGCATGGGACTCTCTGAAGCGAAACAACATGTACTAAACACCTTTTTTGCACTGTTTTGTCAGAAACATACACGTTTCGTGCAGGGATGTTTGTGTCCACTGATAAGACTGACATGTATCCATGTGTGCGTGTGCAGGCTTTTGGCAGTTGTTGTGTGCTGTTTCCCATTCTACTAGGTCTACCAAATGCAAAAAAGGACATTTTGGGAGGGCGGTGTCTCTCTGTATATGTATATATCTTTGTACACATAATGCCTATTTTTGGGCGAGCTCACATGTGGTCACTATGACGGAGGCCCTTTTTTGAGGATCCCTTGAACATTGCATATCCCTGTCTCTATACCTATACAATGGATGTTCCATATATATATATACATATATTATACACGCCAGTGCTGTTGCAGGTTTGGCTGTTGGTGGAGCTTGTATGTTAAAGAATGTAGAACCAGGTCAATTCTCTCACAGTTCTAGCCCCATGGAAAAAGAGGTGAAAGGAAACCGAGTTTTTCCAGTTGCTTCTAGCACTCCAAGATCTTGCACAGATAAAGAGAACAACTTCAATTGGAGAAGATGTTAGAGGCAGTGAAGTAAATTCAGTGGCTACTAATAATTCAATTTCTAGTACACACAAAGGGATAAGTCCAATGACAAGTTTGACAATGAAGGTAATGAACCAAAGGTTGAACAAGGCTTAAGAAAGTTGAAAATGTCTTGATTCAGGCAGTTTTACTTTTGACTTTCTCCAGTAAAAGTAAATGTTAATCTGACAAAAGTTGCGGTCTATCTCAGCCAATTTTATTGCTTTCCAAAAGTTTTACGTTTGCCTGCCGTTTTTGCAAATGGGGAAAAGGACAAAATGTAGTAAATTAAAACTTCTAGTCCTATGGAAAGAAAACAAGTAACACTTCCCCCCCCCAAAAAAAATAAAATAAAAAAGAAAACATACGTTGGGAAGCGTTATGTTGTTACTTGTCGCCAGCTCAAACAAAAAATGTAAACCTCCCGAGGTAAAACTTGTGTTAGGCAGTTTTACAGTTTACTGCTCATGGGTCTAAAAGCTTTCTGTTTTGCTCTTTTGTCGGGGACAAGAGAAAAAAAACATAAAACTGCCTGAAGGTTTGGGGGTTGTGCTTTGTTAGGCTTACTGGGCGAGAATACAAAAAGTATCAGTTCAATATTTCTGAAGACTCCGATATGGACTTGTTTTATTAGGCCTACGTTGTCTGGAGACACGATTCTACTTCAGGCAGTCCTAGCCCTCGACTAGTACAGGGAAAAGCAAACTACGGTCGTTCAAGAAAATAAATTTCCCACAGTCTCGGAGCGCAAAAACCTGATTTCTGTTCAACCATGAGTGTGTATCTATTGAAGTGCCAGGCACCTCTCAGCTGCGAATAGATTAGTTCAAGCTCATTCACAAAAGTGTAAAGGCCAGGAAACGGGCCTGAACCGTCTGAACATGAACCCAGTCTGAGCCCTACCGATTGGAAAACGCTGGGTGGCGGGCTTCATTCTGCAATCTTCGTTGCCACATCTTGAGGTGAAGAGTGCGATTGGGTGCGATTGGGTGCGATGGGGTGGGACTTGCCAATGGCACATCTCGAGGTGATGCAGCTTGGGTTCAACGCTTTTCTTGCAAATTGGCTACTAACCTGCATGGCTCCCCCATGTCCCGTGATTGATTGGTTCAGGCCCCTTTTTTGGCTAAGGCAACAAAACAGCCCCACTTGAACATGCTAAATTGCCTCAAAATCTACGCAGCAAAGCTAAGACCCCAGATATTTTACCACCCAGAGGCTCGGAAAAACTTGAGATTTCTTAACTCCACCGTAGAATTAACAAATTTGAGAGACTCTCAAAAACTAAAAAGGGATTTATTATCACACAACATAACCGTACAAAACGTCCTCTCCCACACTTTCGATTGCAGAGCAGGCGCAGCACCTTCGCAAGGTCGGTAGATAGACAGACTGATAGATAGATAGATAGATAGATACAAGAGAGAGATGAACTGAAAGATGAAAAGATAGGTAGAGCCGGTAATAGCTAGATAGGTAGGTGTCTCGAGATGAATAGGAAATAAATGGAAAGAAAGAGATGAGAGGTAGAGAGGTAGAGAGGTACAGAGGTAAAGAGGTAGAGAGGTAGAGAGGTAGAGAGGTAGAGAGGTAGAGAGGTAGAGAGGTAGAGTGGTAGAGAGGTAGAGAGGTAGAGAGGTAGAGAGGTAGAGAGGTAGAGAGGTAGAGAGGTAGAGAGGTAGAGAGGTAGAGAGGTAGAGAGGTAGAGAGGTAGAGAGGTAGAGAGAGAGAGAGATAGAGAGCAAGAGAGAGAGAGAGAGAGAGAGAGAGAGGGATAGACAGACAGACCAGACCAGACCAGACCAGACCAGACCAGGACCAGACCAGACCAGACCAGAACCAGACAGACCAGACCATAGACCAGACAGACCAACCAGACCAGACCAACCTATACCAGACCAGCACCAACGAGACCAAGACCAGACCAGAAGCAGTAGAACAGACCAGACCAGACCGAGAGCAGAGCAGACCAGACCAGGACAACACAAAACAAACACCAAACAACAGGCCAAGCAGCAACTCATCACACAGCCCCACCCACGCCCCATTGGCACAGACGTGAATCACCACACTCCACATCCCCCCCCCCCCACGACCCCCCCGAGGCGCCAGACCCTACCAGACCAGACCAGACCCACCACCCCCTACCAGAGCAGAGCAGGCCCCGAGCCCCGCCCAGCCCATCCAGACCTCACCAGACCATACCAGACCAGACCAGACCAGCAACAGACCCGACCAGAACCAGACCACCAGACCAGACCAACCCGAACCCAGCCCCGAACCAGACCATACCAGACCAGACCAGAAACGCCCGCCCAGACCCAGACCCGACCAAACCAGACCAGACAGACCAGACCAGACCAGACCAGACCAGACCAGACCAGACCAGACCAGACCAGACCAGACCAGACCAGACCAGACCAGACCAGACCAGACCAGACCAGACAAGCAGGCAGGCTGACAGACAAACAAACACACCATCTGCCGAATTCATAGGTCAAATGGTGTACTCAAAACCATGTAAAGAAGCAAAAAGGCAGCTGCACCCACCAATGGTCGGGATCACTTCATCTACCGGGTTTTGGTTGTGACTCATTTGGGTACTTCCCAAAATAGGGCACCCCAAACAATGGCAGGGGTGTCCTTTCTGGTTTGCCTTCAAACCACACAAGAAGACCCTGGACAAAACACTCACCATTTTCAGCCCCTCTCCAAACAAAAACCCTCCTGCGCGGGACCACCGCATTCCGTGAGCTCCAACCTGCTGAAGGGCAGCGCTGAGCTCCCGGCCACACCCACACACCTGAGGGGATCACTGGGGTCCGTCTCAAAAGAGCCCAATGCGGGCGGCCTCCGAAAGCGAAAGCTTCCAGAAAAAAACCACGCCCCTAAAATCAAGCGAGCTGATCGCTGTCGCCCAAAAACCCAAAAAGGTTTTCTTTCAAAATGAAGTGCATCGGTACGCCGAGTGTTTCATTGGGGGTGGGAGGGGGAGGAAGGCTGTGTCCAGGGGGGGCGGTTTTGGGTTTGGGGGGGCATTATTTTGTTTTGGGGGAGGGGGTGTTTTTTTACTGGCAATATTCCTTATATGCCCCACCTGCCCTGGTGCTGGATGGTCTTCCAAACCGTGAAACGCTGGCCCTCATCGCCCTCGATGCATTGGCTCAGCTGCAGATAGGTCCCGTCCTCCTCGATGTGGTCGGCCACGTCTATGCAATAGCTGGGGCTCGAAGCCAAGCGAATCTTTCCATCTGCGCAAACCGAAAAATGGCCCGAAAATAAGGGAACACTGGGAGAAGGTGCCATATATCAAGCAAGGAATCTTAGCAAACCAGGGAAAGTGTGAGACAGGGTGGAAGAAGCATCCCTCCCACATAACGAATCCTCCAGGACCTCGCACGGCTCAAGCTTGACCGTTCACAGCTAAGGAATTCTGGTTTCCTTCAAAACTCAATAGTGTATTGTTTCATACTTCACTGGGTTTTGGCTATAGGCACCTTTCAAACCCATCGTGCTTTCTTTGCTCAGGAAAGGCATCATTGGCCGTCTCAAATTCCTAGACGTCAATCTTTTCCAAACCCAAACGGGGGGCTTTGACCATCCAGTCGGACTCCCGAGCTTGAGAATCTGCTGAATGCGGGCACGTTCCATCTTAGACAAAAACAAGACGAGGAATTTATTCAACCCCACGGCCCCATGAACAACGTGACGCTGGCCGCAACATGCTATTGTGCGGCACCTGTGCCCCAAATCCAATGCTGCCGCTGGCCAGACACATCCGATTCCTCGTCCTGCTCACAAGGGACCACCACGATACTCTGTCCGTTGCCCACGTGCCACGTAGCCGTGGCCAAGCAGAGGTTGGGGTATGCGCTCCAAATGAGCTGGCGCGGGCACGCCAAGCTCCCGGGATCAGGCAGCGAGGCAATGCCCCCGGAGTGGTCGACGTGCTCGCAGCCGGTGACCTGGGCCTGCTCGCAGGACTCTGCGAGCTGCAGCTGGGGCTGGGAGCCATCCGCCGTCAAGCACCGCTTCTTGTCGCTTCCGATGTACAATTTCCCGTCCAGCAGGAAGTGCTGGTTGTCAAGGCCCGAGCAGGGGGCGAGTCTGAGGCTCGAATCTCCATCCACTGCCTCCACACAGAGATAATGATTCATGGCCAGCTTCAATGCACCACCCCGCAAGCTCCAGTGAAACTGACTAGCTCCCTGATGGGTCTCAGCACAGTCTGCCAGCTGCATCCGCATTCCTTCCCTGAGGTGCCAGCCCGCGGTGGTCAGGCAAATCCCCCGGTGCTGCAGGAACTCCACTTGCCGACTGCACTGATCGGTGCAGGTGCCGAAGTCGAAGCTCTGCGAGGTGTCTTTCAATCGGCTCCAGAGCTGCACTTTCTGGCCCGGATTGGGCAAATGCCAGGAGACATCAAGCACCAAGGAGGAGTTCACCCATCTGATCTCTCCCTTTCGCAGAAACTCGAACTTCTGCGCCGAATAATATTTATCGGACTTGTTCACTGGCTTGTCAACGCAAGTCCATAGCTCAAGCCCTGACCCTTTGCCTTTCTCCGTATCGGCCACTTCAATACAGTAATGTGATGCTGTTGCCAAGCGTATCTTCCCGTCCGATGTAAAATGCCAGTCACTTTGATAGCCTGCGCCACAATTTTGCAAGTAGATCTGTGAACCGTTGGCAATTGTTGCGGCCGCCAAGCACATGGTGGGAAAATTTGACCAAATGATCTGCCGTCCGCAATGCGCTAAGGATGGGGACAACGCGTGTAGCTCGGACAAACCCTCCTCAACATTGCTGCCACATGCATGCAGCACACACAGGCAGGCGGCCCCTACAAGCACAAGGCTGGACAGCACATAGCAAGCCGAGCCCTTCAGGATGGTATAGTGACTGGGGCTGGTGTTCATCACCAACAGCTCGAACTCCACATTCTCGGCATCCACGAGATGGTGGCGCGGGCAAGGAAATAGCAAGAGCGATCTTTGATCGTCAGGCCCCACCATACCAACCTTCCGGATGCTCTCACACCGTGCATGCGCGTCTCGCAACTTGAGGCCGCGCTGCGGCATTCCCATGGAATGAATGGGCTGACCAAGAACCCTCTTGGCAGTTGTTCAAAAGAAAGAGTCCCAATTGGGGATGGGGGGCCCTTTTGGTTTCCCTTAAAAAAGCGAAAGCAAAAGCGAGTCATCTTTCCCCGTTTCAAAGACTCGCTGCACAAATGCCTCCTTCTCGCGTTTCCGCCTTTTTGCAGCTTCCTCCTCTTTCAGCCTGATCCAAGTGCATTGAACCCTCTCGCTTGTAGGTGCTAAGCCACGAAAATTTAAAAAAAAAAAGGAACAAATGAGGGGGGAAAAAAGAGCTTCTCCTACAGAGTGAACCAAAACCACAAGTACGGCCTACGCTTCTCCTCCTCTCGCGTCCGTTTGCTCTCCTTCTCAGGCTTCGTCGATGTTTCCTTCTCTGCTGGCCTGAAACTGCCAATGCCCCGGCATTTGAGGCACACCTTTGCCGTGCAATGGGCTTCACGTTTACAAATGTGCTTCATTCAAGCTTGTCTTCTTTGCTTTGTTGCAAAACTACCCTCAGTTTCTTCCATCCCTGGGCTTTCGACATTTCGATTTATCTACCTTCCCTCAATATGCGTTGACGTTCATATTCTTGGATGCATCGGCTTTTGCTTCCCGCCTGCTTCGTGCCTGCCCTGCCTGTATGTCCCCTACTCAAAATTCCTACAACCTTTCTTCTTTCTTTGCACATCCAGGGCATTTACACGTTCATGGGTCTCGTCAACTGCCTGGCTACTTTGTCATCTGCCCCTCCTTCCTGCGGCTATTCCTCTTCGCTTCTTGCTGAATATGATTCTTCTTCAAAATGCTCTCTTCCTCTATCATTCCACTCCCATTCCATTTCACTCTGTGCCATACCCTCGATTCAGTTCTTGCCTTTCAAAGCATTGAAACATGCTCCCGACAGGGGCCCAAAAAATGCAGCTTTGGGTTTCCCCTCAAACCAATCTGCAAAATGTTCCCTCGCCATACAGAGACAAATACATATACACCTATAAACATATATGCCGCTCCCGTCGGCACCTCTCTCGAACGGGACCAAAGGGATTGCGGGCCGCCTGGCGTGGCTTTGGACTTCACTCCCCACTTGCCAACTCCGAAGCCTTGGTTCCGGTTGAAAAGAACCATTCCGGCAAATAACAAGCAACGGTGATAACATGGAATTCTGACATGGCACGGTTCCTCGCACCCCTGCCTTGAGCATATCCGATTGCTCCTGCATGAGGTAGGCATCCCATTGTTCACAGCATTTATCGGCGGAACTGTTTGAGTTGGTGTGCCTCATGGTTGGCATCTTTCTTCCTGTCCAGATTGCTTCTGTCTCTGTCCTCGCAGCAAGTCATTGCAAGGAAATCAGCAGGCATGCATCATGCGCTCCGGGCTCTTCTTGTCATCCTCGTCGGCTTCTGAGGGCTCCTGAATTGCGCCCAAGTGCCAAGACAATTTTAGAAAAGCTAAACATCTCCTCATCAGAGTCCAAAGCCTGCCAAGTAGCAAAAGCGGCAAAAGCAGCAGAAGTCCAAGCAGCGGCATAAGGCAGCGGAAGCGGCGGCCGAAACAGTGGCAACCTGGCGGCGGCGGCAGCGGCAGCGGCAGCGGCAGAAGCGGCAGCAGCAGGGGTGGTGAGCAAAAAACGGCCGACATGACAGACATGACGAAAAAGGAGATGCGGCAGTGGCAGACATGACAGACATGGGTAATCGTGCCAGAAGCGGAAGACGGCGGAAGCAGCGGCAGAAGCAGAACCGGCAGAAGCAGAACCGGCAGAAGCAGAAGTGGCAGAAGAACACAAGGCAGATGTAGCAGAAGCGGCAGAAGTGGCTGCGGGCAAACTCTGAAGAATCCAGGGCCCTGGCTCTCCTAGCAGCCTGTTTCCTGGCACTGAGGCAATGGAAACTGCCGCAGAAGTGCTTCCTGGCTCGCCTGCGCCATTCCATGACCAGCTTCTGTTTCCGCTCCTCTTCTACTTTGCGGCGTCTCTCCTCAAATCAAGCAGGTGACAATTCTGAGACCTAAATTGCGGTAAGGGTCTGTGTCACTGGTTTGCTGCAGAGGAAATGGGCTCCTAAAGGTCCAGTTCTTGCATATGAACAAGGGATGCAATCGATACACCATTCGGATGCAAAAAAGGAAAGGACTTGGGCAAAAAAACACATCGAATCCGCCATCGACTTTACCCTGGACTCAATCGGACCCGCCCCTGAATAGGCGCAATCGGCGCCTCCTCCTGCAACCTGTGGAACTCCGCCTCGTCCGCCGCCATCCTCCGCCGCCTCAGAGCTCGCCGTTTTCAGCGCGGCTCGCAGACCCACACACCCGCGTTGGAGTACACCAGAAGACCCTTCGAAAGTATTGCAAGGTGGGAGATCTGACCAAAAAACAACATTCGTGGGGACGAAGAACCGCGAGAAAAAGCGACACTCCCTCGTCAAACAACTCCTGCCATCTTGGTTTCCATGTGGTTTCCCAACCCAAAAAGGGGCATTGGACTCCCTGGGGCACCAAACTCCTCCGCCTCCCTGCGCCGCTCGAAGTCGCAGAACTCCCTCACCTCGTCCTCCGCGCGCTCCATGAGCTCCGCCCTCGCGAGCCGGCGCTGGGGGCAATTCGCGGAAGGCTGAGGCGCTGGGTGCGCAGAAATGTGGGCACCAAGAAGGCGCCAATGATGGGCTTAACGGATGACTACAGAATGACACAACTTACATCATGGGGTTGTGTTCCCCTTGAGAGGCACCTCGCATCTCGCACGGTCTGCAGACAGAATACGTTCACAACCATTGATTTGCGCAGCACTTGCCAGTCAATTGTGTGGCTGCGCAAATGAGTTTTCAATCAATGGCATCCTGGATATGATTTAACGCATGACAGAATTTTCTGGAAAACCCTGGCGTTAACCCCAACAAAAACCAACTGTTCCGGGGGTCCATTGCCTGACCCCTTTGAGACCCGCGAAAGGTCCAAACCAATTTGCAAGGCCCAGGCTCGAACTCTTCCCGAGTTTGCTCTTCAGCGAGCGCGGTAGCTTCCTCCACCTGGTGGCTTGAAACGGGAGGATGCCGCGTGCTTCACTTGACAACCTACATGCTAAGAGTCCCAATACGCAAGGTTTGTGTGAAACAAACAAAAAAACATGTCACTGGAAAATGCGCTCATCTACTCTGCGTTGGTATAACGCGACTGTTCTTGCCCATTGGGGTCATCGGACTCGTGAGCCCGCGGCCGCGCGGCTCTGCTCGTCCGCCCGTAGCATGGCCGCCCGCTCGATGGCCCGCAGCTCGCGCTCCCGTCTTCGCCGTTCTCGGACGCGGCGAAACGCGGCGGGATCTTTTCGGCTCGCAAGGAACAAGTTGGGAATGAACTGAATGACTGAATGACTGCATTACTGCATGACTGAATCACCGAATGGCTTAACAGTGCCGCTTCAGAAACGTTCGCTTCCCTAACTGGCAGGGCTGCTTGCATGTGTGTGTGTGTGTGCGTCATGAACCAAGGATGCGGCTTCGCTCCAAATCCACGCGTGCCTGCCCCATCGAAGAAATCCATGCGATCTCCGCCTTTCCCAGCTCGCGCACATGATCGCCTGCTCAGCACGGCGGCTGTCTCGGTCAGCTTTCGACATTGCCTGAGTGCCAACGGGACTGATCTGTGAAGTGACATGTTGCATGGGGTGCCCTGCCCGTGTTTCTGCGGCCTCTGCCTGGCAGCAAGCGGTTTGCGGCGCTTTGTCACCTAGGCATACTCTGGCTAACAACCGTCCGCGCCTCTTGAATCAAGTTCAAGTAGTCACGCTCAGCCTGAATCACGTAGTGCTGCCACGCCTGGCCAGGTCTGATTCAGACATCTCTTTGTCAAAGCTCCCTCGTCAGGAATTCGGAGTGTCGGTCGGCATCCAACGATGCCAGGCCTTGATTTCAGCATCAGCGGCCGCCATGGCCTTGGTGAGCCGAGAAATCAGCTCGGCCGAAGAAATTCCGCGAGGCCCCGGCTGCCTGCTCCAAGCCGGGGATCATCGGCGCCTGCCTCTTGCGCTCTGCCTGGAAAAAGCCCGTTCTCATGCACAAGTGCACTTGAAGGCCCACCTGACTGCTCATGTCTACAAATATTAATATTGTATGTATATATATATATATGTGTGTTATTGAGGGTACCCTTTCCACGTTGGAAACAAAAAGGAAACCCACCATAGGCGGGGGCTGTTTTGACACACACTCAACTATCTAGTTGCCTGACTGTATCCCTCCAAACCTGGAAGAAGCCGCCTCCACCAAGGCCACCAGCATTCGGCGCCGCTGCTTGCTGAGACTCGGATCCCTCAGCGAGTCGGCAGCCGCCTGCGCGACAAACTCAAGTGCCCCGAGTATGGCCACGCAGGATCAACCCGTCGCACCTGAAGTCTCTTGCTGCGGTCCAGGTCTTTCTCAGCCTCGCATATCGCAAAGCGCATGCTACATCTCGGTGTGGTGGAAAAGCAGACTTCGCTGGCGCATGACTAACCCTGTAAACCAAACCAACCAAACCAACCAAACCAACCAAACCAACCAAACCAACCCTTCAGAGGGATAAACCACCTACCGACCGGCACCCTCTGAACGCGCTTTTCCACACGTTCGTTTGTGGAAGACATGACGACAATCTTACACTGTTTCTTCACGTGCTCTCAAGGCTTTTGCGTTGTCTGTTTGAAGGTTCTTCCAGGCAACACGATGCGACAGAACCGTTCCGCGCCTTCGCCAGAACCGCCGCCGCGAAGTCGGCGTTCGCCACCTCCCACACGCCGCGGCGTTCCGCGAAGGCGGCCGCCTGGGTCCAGGAACCCCGAAAACCCGGAGTTCCCATCAAACATCCCCGGCCAAAAAAAAATGCTGCCCTCCCTTCCACAGCCAGAAGGCCCTGAAAGATCATTTCCCCTTGCAGGGCCCCCCCCAACAACAACAAAAAAGTGGCTCTGCGCCTGCTTTTGGCGCTCAGCCTCTTCAATGGCTACCTGCGGCAGCTGCGAAATGGGC